AACGCCGCGGGCGGCTGCTCTCAGCGCTGCGTGCCGAAATTTGCATGGATTTCGTCGGTGCAATCACTGCGGTTACCCCGACCAGGCCCGCGCCGCCAGCAGATCGCTCACTCTTGCCGCGCGCATTGCGCTTGCGAGACCTCGTGTGCTCGGGCTAGCATTGGGCCCTGAGCTGGGAGGGCACCCGCGACATGGTAGTCGACGAGTTAACCAGGGGCGGCGTCGACCAAGCTGTCCCGCGCGACGTTGCGGGCAGGTGTCGCCAGCCAGCGAGCTCACGCGCTGCATTCTGCCTCGCGCATCTTGGCGGGCTGACTATGCGCGACAAACAGCAGTAGTCTGTTCGCCCTGACCGAACACATCGTCATTGCGCCTCACTTCCTACTTGGACGATCTCGCAGCCCCAGTGCTTCTCGGTCAGGACAGACACGTCTGCGCACTATTCCCAGGGTGTCTCGGAGCAGAAGCTAAGACAGACATGACACTATATGATAAGCATCAGGCTGACAGACATCGACAGCGGCTGTTGGCATGGATACGGAGTATAAGAGCATGCGTCGCGACGATGCGCACACGCAGCGCGCGCTGGGTCCGCCCGCGCCATGTTGCCGATCATCAGCGCGAGGCTCGCGCGCAGGCCGCCGCTGGCGCGTGGGGCCCTCCCCGCGCGGAAGCAGCTGCTCAGAGCAGGCGCGCCGGACGCCGCGGTGACGGACGCTCCGGCGATCCCCGGGGCGGGTTTCTGCAAGGGGGCCGGCCGCCAAGGAGGGGGGGGGGGAAGTGTGCCAGGAAGGGGGGGGGCGAGGCTGAGGAGGGCCAAGGTGGTGCTCGAAATGAGCGCGCGCTTGGCGGTCTGCAGAAGGATGAAGGAGGCAACGATGGCGAGCAAGGCGCTGGCAGTCGCCGAGCACGGCGGGATCGACAGATGAACAAGAGGGACGGGACGCAGCTACAGGCGGCGATCGCGAGGGCGAGGTAAGAGCCCACAGCAGGGAGCCCCCGCCTCGGGGCCATCTTCCGCGGCCACGGGCTCAGTGCCAGGCGCCGCTTGCTGACGACTGCCTACGCGGCAGCGCGGCGCGCCCTCCGCAAGGACCAGCGGCGGGCCACGCTGGGAACCTGGAGGAGGCAGGAGGGATGCTCTGGCCGGATCCACGCTCTCCTGCAGGGCTGCGGCTGGCAGGAACGCGCCGAGTGGGAATGGAGGCACCCGGTCGCGGGCGTCATTCTCAGCCTGCGCAAGGGAAGCGAGCGCTGGTCCGAGTGCAGAGGACGCGTCGAGCACGTGCTCAGGGAAGGCTGGCGCACGAACCTCTTCGGGAGGTGGCGGGGGCAGTGCCGCGTCGACTCGTCTCTGCGCCGGTCCGAGCAGCGCGGCGAGCGGCGCTGCAAAGCCGCGAGGCTTCTGGCAGAGGGCAGCACGCACGCGGCCAGCGTGATGTCCAGAGCTTTCGTCTCGCCGGCGCACCTGCAGGCGGCGAAGGGCAGAGAGGAGAGAGGGGGGGGAGGAGGAGGGCGAGGACGACGACGAGACGGGCGAGCAGCAGCGCAGGAGCATTGCCCCCGCTGCGGGAGGAACGAGGCGCCGGACTTCGAGCGCGTGGTCCGGCGCTGCGAGGCGGAGATCAGGCCCGTAGGCCGGCCGCAGGACGCGCTGCAGCGGCGCCTCTTCTGGCCGACCGGCTTAAAACGCAGGAAGGAGGTGGGCGCCGGCCTGCTGCGGCGGGCCGTCGCCATGCGCAAGGCGACCCTGGAGGGGCGCCGCGGAAGGAGGCCGGCCGAAAGCGCCGGGAGCGCGCCCCCGGGGAGCCGAGGGCAGGGCGAGGAGTTAGGGGAGGCGAGAGGCCAGAGGGAGAGGTTGAGGGAGGGCGGAGGTATAGGAGGAAGTGGAGGCAGCGGCAGAGGAGAGTAGACTTCCAGGGAGGAGGAGAGAGCGAGAGAGAGAGAGAGAGGGAGAGAGAGAGAGAGAGAGAGAGGAGAAAGAAAGGAAGGATTTTCACATATGTGCACTGTTATGAAGTTGCAGTGTACATCATTCAAGCTAGTGCGGGCCTGCGTTGGTCCCGATGCCGCCTCGGGCGCAGGCTTCAGCCCCCCCGACTGAGACCCCTTCATCGGAGGAGCCAGCGCCCGCCCTGCCACCGAGACCTGGTCGAGCGCCGGCGGCAGCTGGCGCCCCCAAGGCTTCGCCTTTATTGACGCAACAGCCGATCGCGGCGCGTTCTCATTTCCAACAGAAAAAAGCTCGAGCGCCCCGGCGCGCACGCAGGGCACGCCGCCGATGATGCCCGCGGAAGAGCACCGGCGACGACGCCGAGCGCCCCAGCGAAGTCGCTACCGCCGACGTCCAGGGACAAGGAAGACAGGGGCCGCCAACGAGGTCTCGCGGCCCTTGCCTGCACGGGCACTTCCGCAGTCGTGTTCGGCCTGCTCGACGCCGCCGCCGCCGACGACGCCGGGCGACGCCGGCGCCCCGGAGGCCCTCGGCCAGCCCGGCGCCTCGCCGACCTCGACGAGGAGGCGCCAGGAGTGCAGGCGCGGGAGTTCTCGCGGGCTACCATCGACCACGTGCGGGTCAAGCAGCTCATGATCGACCGTCACGTCTCCCAGCGCTTCCTAGAGGCCAGAGGACGTGGCCCGCCTGCATCTCTCCGGCGCTGACGCCATGGGGCCCGCGATGCGCGCGGGCTTCAGCTGCGAGACCAGTCTGGGTCGTGGCGCCCGCCCGACCCAGCCAGCGGCCCCGCGCAGACTGGCGCTCGAGGGCAGGGGGGGCCCGGCGCACGTCGCGATGTTCCGCGGCGCGCTGCGCCACTTCCAGGAGAAGGCCTCGACGCGAGCGAGCGCCAAGCGCGCGGGCGCCGCTGGCAGCTGCGCGGCCAGGAGCGGCCGGGTCACGACTGGGGCCCACTGCTGGAGCCCGACCGGCCGGACGACCCAGGCGATGCGCCTGCCGTCCAGCGAGGCGCCGGCCATTCACCGCGGCGCAGTGCGCTTGCGCTCGCGGCCCGCCTCGCGCCGTGACTCGCGCCCCCCCGGAGCGCTCTCCTCCGCGACGCCTGGTCGAGAAGTGCAGGAGGCCGCCATTCCGCCGCGGCACTGCCCCCCCCCGCGCGATCGGGGCCCCTCTGGCGCGCAAGCATGGCGGGCAAGGGCGGCGGCGCGTCCAGGACAAGACCGCAAACGTCATGGGCGACGGCAAGGGAGTCGCTCCCGCGGACGCCGACGCCGCGCCGGCCGAGCGGCGAGAAGGCCAAGCGCAGCCGCGAAGCTGGCCGCGCGCCTGCGTCGCGTCCTCCAACCAAGAAGTCCGAGGAGCCGACCGCGCTTCCGGCGCAGCCTCCCGGCGCGGGCGCGACGGGCGAGGGTCGAGCATCTGAGCGGGAAGGCAAGTCGCCAGAGCAGGAGTCATTCAAGAGCGACTGAGAGCCCTCGGCGAGCGAGGCGGCAGCGCGATGACTTCGCGCGCCCCTCGTGGTCTACCCTTCCTCGCTCCGTTCGCCCGCGTTGCCAGGTTAAGGGTTTTTTGGGGGCTTCATCTTCGCCCCAGCGCGACTCCTTCGCTGAGCAATCTGCTGTTGGCTTTCGAACTGCCAGCGCGCGGCTTGGAGTCCACAGACACAGACGCGGCGCTGGGTGAGCGCGCTCCACGAACTCGCGTGAGTTGCGCCCAGCGATGCAAGCAACAGCGCGGGTTGAGCTCCGAAGTGCAGCCAGCGAGCCCGCCATCCGCCCGTGCTGGCGCCTTCCAGATGGCGGCGGTGCATAGCGGATAGGTTGGGAAGGTGCGCGGGGTTGGACAGATCTGAAGTCCTCTTTTTCGGTTCTTTTGCCCCGCCACAGTTGTTCGATCGCCCGAACAACCCCGACTCAAATATGATGCCCTGTCGCCGTTTGGTTCAGCGCCGGCGCGTACAAACGCATGCGCGTGAAGAAAAAGAGCCTTACTTACATCTCTGAAGGCCACCATGCCAACCTTCTCACTACCCCTCCCTTCCCGCAGTTCTAATCCCGCCTTCTCCTCCCCAACCTCGCCTTGCCATCCTCTTGCCCGGACGTTTTCCGCGGGCGGGACACATACTCCTGCTGCTGCTATTGCATGTGCTCCCCCTTCCGCTGCTCCTTGCACTCTTGGGGCAAAGAGTCGGCAGGGGAGGATGATCGGAATGGGAGGGGGAGAGGGGGATGACGGATATGAAGGTGGAGGAAGCGCCCAGAGGTGGGAGAGCGGGGAAACGAAGGAGGGGACAACTTACGCCGCGAAGGAGGTGCTTGAGGGGAGCGGGGGGGCGTGGCAACCGTTGGGGGCCCTTCAGGACAGGAGCGAACGTCTCGCTGTCAGCAGGAGAGGGGCAGGGAGCAGACTGGCCGCATCAGGGGGAACCACGGCACACACCCACCCAGGGTGCCCATCAAATTCGGCCCCCCTTCGAAAGACCGTCGACACGATGGGTTCGCCCTACGATGGGTTCGCCCGTCCCGAGGAGTGAGGAGCACAGTTCCCCCGCGCGCGGCTGGTCTAGGGCGGTGGGGATCAGAGGAGAAAAGTGGCCCCGTTACCGCTGCCTCTCCTCCGTTCTCTTTTTGTTGAAGGTTTCCTGGGACGACGCCCTCGTCGCCACGGCCGGATTCGCTTCGGCATCCTGGTCAGACAGCACCCCAGGAGCGGACCGGCGAATGGCGGCATCCTTCGCTTGTGGTGTCTTCGAATGCAATTATTTTGCTCGTGGCTGGTCGGGGGCGGAGGAAGCAGGGGGAAGGAAGGAGGGAAAAATGGGGGAAGCGAGCGAAGGGGGGGCGGGGGGGGGGGGGCGCGACGCGAGGAGGCCGAAAACTGTCCAAACCCCGCCGTCGTGTCTCTTCAGTGCCAACAGAAATCAAGCAAGACAAACTATGGGATGACGAGGCGGCCATCTGGGGAGGGAGGGCCGGCGCGGACGGCGCGGGCGCCGCGAGAGGCACGCGCCGCAGGGCCCCTCGCGCGCGCCCGGCGGCGGCAGGCGCGATGCTCACGATGGGCGCAGCGGACGACCCGCGGGCCAGCCGGGAGGCGCGCTCCTCTGGGGGGGGGGGGCGTTGCGTAATGGGGGGGTCATAAATGGGGGGTTGGTGAGGGTGTTCCGAAAAGGTACCCAAACGGTGCCTAAACGGGCCCCCTGGGGGTCCAGAGGGGCCCGAAAGGGGCACGAAAGGGGACCTTTTCTGACCCCCCCATTTGTGACCCCCCCATGAAGCCACGCCCAAGGGGGGGGGGCCTCCGGCAGCTCCCCTCGGAAGCGAGCGCAGGTTTTTCCTGCGAGGCGTCGGCGCCCCAGGGCCCCAAGATTGCCAGGGTGGCGCCGAAGCTGGCGACTGCAGAGACAAAAATCTGGCCCCGTGGGCCGCGTTTCGCGCGTCGGCCAAAATTGAGCCCTTGCGTTTGATGTCGAGGAGGGTCCCTGGGCCTACCAGGTGGGGTCCGAGTGGATGGGGTCAAAGGAGCGTGCCCCATCGCCGATGCATCGGCGATGGGGCGGCTCGACGTTTATTCCGTTTTGCTTCACGTCGACGTCGCTGTTGCAGCGCCGACATCGCCGATGCATCGCCGATGCATCACCGATGTATCGTCGATGCGGCACGATCCTCCGACCCCATCTACTCAGATTCCGTTTGGGAGAGTCGTCGGCTCTCGGCGTTTTTGTAGCCTCGGGCTTTAGTTTGAGTCTCCGGGGGGTTCTCGGATGGGGCTTTTGCTCTTGGTTCTTCGTCCTGTAGGATAGGGTTTCCGATTCTCGGCTCTCGAGGTCGATCGAGGATCAGGAGCAACCCCACATATCTGCGACGATACGGTCCTGCCTGTTTGGGAATGTTTCTCTGGTTTCGATTTTGGGGGATCATGTTGGGTGGTGTCCTTTTATTTTCGTCGGTTTGGGGAGTTTGCCAGCATCAGGGTGCTTTGCTGCAGCTGCGCCTCGCCGAGGGCGCGCTGGGGGCTGGCCGGGTCGTACAGAGCGGCCGCCGGAGGTCCGAGCTGTGACCCGAAAGCCAGGCGACGAGGCACACGTTTCCAATCTGGGGATGCCTCCCGGCAGTTTCGAGAGTCAGAGGAAGACGCAGGCGCACGGCAGATTCGTGCCGTGTCGACGCTGCGAAGACCCAAGCGCGGGCTTTCAAGCCACCAGTGGCGCCGAATCGGCCGCTATCGAGCGGTCTGCCCTATCAAAGAGCTGTGATCGATCAAGGTTGAAGGATCCACGCGGCGTCAGAAACCTGTGCCGAAGTCGACACGACACGAAGTTGCCGTAATTTGTCCGAGGTTCGCATAGACGTGCAGGGTCGGCGCTGAGAGCCCCGATTCCCACACTCTTGGCGGCACCTCCAGCGTCGCCCCCAGCGCGCTCCGCGCGCTGGGGAATGGTTCGGTTTCGCGTTCCGACCCAAGTCATCCGTGCGGACCTCCGAAAGTTTCTGTTCCACCGGTTTATGGTGCTTAGCGGGGCAATCTCTCAGCGCTTGTATCATATGAGAACAGCGGCATTGAGTGACAGGTTTCTTTAGATGTTTGCAGTGTTCTAATGCTGTCCGTGGTCTCCCAGGGCTCGCAATGAGGAAGAGGGGGCCTGAGAGAAAAGGTTCTTGAGGTTCTTGGCGTGTGTCGCACCCTGGGACCCTCCGATACGAGCGGAGAGACTCTGTCAAAAACAAAGGTTGCTTATGTTGAGATGAAACGTTCGCGAGAGGCATATATGGTCCAGGGTCTGCCCTCCCCCCCTCCAACCAGATGGCATGGTGTCCAGCCCCCCCCATGATGGTTGCCCGTCTTCGCCGTCGTCTTCGCCGTCGTCGTCGCCGTCGTCGCCGCTGTCGTCGTCGCCGTCGTCGTTGCCGTCGTCGTCGCCGCCGCCCCCCCCCCCTCCATACCATCTCGGGGAGGGGGGGTGGACGTGGGAACCCTGGGACCCATACCATCGGGGGGGGGGGTCGTGGGCACCCGACACCCTGGATCATATATCCTTCGCGTGAGCCGATGAGTTGCGTCGCGCTCCACCCATCAAGTCTTGAGACTTTCGGGCAGCGCGAGTAGAAGTTCAGGAAAACCCTTCGGGCGAGAAGGAGGTTGGGGATCGATGGGTGCAGCTAGTGGTTTGCGATTGGCGGAGTTCGAATTCTTAATACATTAGATCTCGATATCTGTATGACGATAGATTGATGCGTATACATATACATAAATACTTCGGTCCCGCAACCCATCCCGCCATCCAACCCGCATCGCTACTACCAAACTGGTTTCTCTACCAGTCGATACCATCACCATGTTACGTATCGATATCACGTTGTGTCTTCCGATATGATCTAGTGATTTGTCGGTCCCACCACCCGTCTACCGATTTCAATTTCCATAGACCGTGCCATTTCAAAACGTACGTGGGTCTTGCACTTGGTCCATGATTATCAGACCGAACGTATGTACATACAAAAGCCTGTGTATTTCTACGTGTGATTACATTTATATATATATATACCAGTCGATACAACGAGAATTTGATCACAATACATCCATCGGTCTAAATCTACAGATGCACGGGACAACAGCAGGACAACAACGGCACAATTGCCAACCGCGGAACAACCATGGAACAGCCACACACATGGGACAACCACGTGACAACACCACATGACAAACACGGGACACACATGGGACAACCAGTGGATATCCACGGGGAAACCGTCGGACAAACACGGGACGATTGCGGGATTTGCGTCGATTTGTTTGTCGGCTTCATTGTGAATCCACCGATCTCCTTTTCCATAGGTCGATGATCCTCAAACCAGCGGTCCCACAATTCGTTCATGACTTTCTATGTCCCAAAGTGTGATTCATATATGTATGCGTTATGAATGTCCCCAGTGCGTCTCATATGCATGTACATACATATTTATGTGTGTGTAAATTTTCAAATATAGGTATACGTATACATATAGGTGTGTGCGCGTGCGCTAGACAGTGCGGACCCCGGACAGTATGTGTTTATCAATCTACGTTGTGCAATCTAGGTGGTGCGACCTACGTGGCGCAATATCTGCGGTCCGATCTATGTTGTACACTATGTGGTGCAATATCCGTTGTGCAATCTTCATGCTCTGCAATCTCTGCGGCACAAAATGTGTTGTGCACTCTATGTGGTGCAGTCTAAGCGGTGCAATCGGTGTTGTGCACGATACGTGGCGCAATATACGTGGTGATATGTGGTGCAATCTATGTTATGTACGCCCTGTGGCGCATTGTACGTTGTGCAATCCATTTGGTGCAATCTACGCGGCTCAGTAGACGTGGTGCAAACTACTTGGTAAACCCAAGTGACGCAATCTATGAAGTGCAATATTTGTTGTGTGCTCTATGCGAGGGAGGTAAAGCCACCCTGGCCCCGATAAGTGGCGTTTACTAAACGTCCCCAGCCGTTTACTAAACAGTCTGGCCTTGTTCGATTCCTATTGGGGTCCGTTGAATAAACGCCTTTGGTTGTTGGGGTGCTTATTTTAATGTTTGTTGTTCTGCTCCCTATCTGTGTGGTGCACTCCTTATGTCGTGAAATTGATTTTTACAAATGAGCTGGCACATCCCATGCTATTGCAAACGCCCCACCCACCCATCCGCAACTTGGTTTGCAAAACCCATGCGGCGGCGATTGCGATGAGTGCTTGGCGTTGGCTGGTGCATCTCTGCGGCCGTGCCGGCCCAAGCACGCGCGCGCAGCGGCCAGCTAGTTTGGCGCGTCCGACGCGAAGGCGGTGGCGTTGACCGCTCGGGCACTTCAGTGCGAGTCGGCGACTTGGGCGGGCGCGGTATCATGGCAACGCCGACAACGGCAGACACGATGATGATAGTAGCGATGTTTGTGGCGATATTGACCGACGACGGCACGGCCAGTGACGGCGCGGATGCTGATCACGCCGACGACGATGACGGCGTCCTCGCGTCGGCGATGAAGGTTTCGAAAAGAGTTCGAAATGCGCGCGCGGCCGACGCGCGAGAGCGGCCGCGTTGTATTCTCTGACATGGATCGTGCCCCCCCCCCAGCACGCGCGCAAGGGCATTCGAATGATGTAGGCATGCGGCGCGACAGGCCCGCTTTCCAGAATTCAACGGCAACGTTTTGAACAACAACCCATGGTTCTCTTAAGAATTAACAATAGCGCGCGCAAGATGCTGCGAAACCATGCATTTTAGTATGGTGGTTCCGTGACACTCGGTTTCGGGACACTCGGTGTTCGACTGTTTCCGGCATGCGCGCGCGACGACGCACGCGCATGCACTGCGTCATTTTTGTTGCAAGGGGTTCGTGCGACAGCACGAGGGCAAAGGCGCTCGGCTAACAATTTCGACACTCGCGCGCGCGAAACCCTTTTGGTACCGTTGTGTGAACATGTTGAAACAAAAACCGATGGTTGCTTTAAGAATGTGCAAGAGCGCGCGCGAGTTTTATTATTATTAAAATCCCGTGTTGCGAATAGGGTATCGCAACACGGATTTGTCCAACCATTTTGTGGTGTTGGGTCTTCGTTTTGAAGAGACAACGCCCCGCGTTTCCTTCCTGTCCTCTCCTCTCCTCCCCTCCTCCCCCTTATCCTGCTCCTCTCTCCTACCCCTCTTCCCAGCAGTTCCACCCTCATTGCGGCGCACACCTCACACGGTTCGTGGCCCCATAGGGAACTCCACCTAAGGCTTCAGTGGCAGGGTTCGCATGCAGTTCCACCTTCATGTCGGCGCGCCCATCGCACGGTTCGTGGCCCCATAAGGGGCTCCACCAAAGGCCCCGGTGACAGGGTTCGCATGCAGTTCCACCTCCATTTTGGCGCACCCCTCACACGGTCGGTGGCCTCAAAGGAAGCTCCACCGAAGGCCTCAGCGACAGGGTTCGCATGCAGTTCCACCCTCATTTCGGCGCACCCCTCACACGGTTCGGGGCTCCATGATGGGGCTCCACCGACAGGTGTCGCATACAGTTCCACTTTGATTTCGGCGCACCCTTCACACGATTCGTGGCCCCATAGGATTAGGTTCGGCATTTA